ATATATATATATATATATACATACACACACACAAAGACAAATACTTTTTAATTTAAATAATTTAAATGCACTGACCATCTCATATTTGTAGGTGGTTCTCTGGAACATATTTCTGGTCCTCTGGATGTACAGCAGAATGTTGGCGAAGACACGAATGGCGTCCTGATAGCGTCTCATCATCAGATACGCGAAACCCACATAATAATATGTGGTGATCTGACACTCGGGCACACGTGAATACATGCTCTGAAAAACACAAAGAACCAGATTTGATTATGAACAATGTTAGCATGCTGCCACACAATTCCAACTCTTTTTTTTGTCTTGAGACAACAGTACTCAGTGACCATAGTAGGACATTTTCTTACCTTCTTGTTGAGTTCGATGTTCTCCAGGACTTTGATGGCCTGATAGTAATCGCCCAGCAGAGAGTGAAGCCTCAGCAATCCCACCAGACTGAAATAACCCAACATCTTATAGAGAGAGTGACGGCCGTACTCTCCAGCCACTGACTCTGGGTCACCTGTGACACAAACACAAGCGTCATACTGACATCTGAATTAGATTACAAGAAAGTCAGTACCATGAGGGCTGGTTGGCGTCTTTCACCTCCACTAGTGTACACCTCCAGCTGACGGTTGATGTTGCTCTTGTCCACCAGAGAGTGAAGGACATTCAGCACACTGTGAACGTTCCAGATCTTGGGATTGTTCCTCAGGAACTCAATCTCCTCCTCCGATTTCTTGGCCGTCTTACAGCGATACTGACTGAACGACTGGAACTGCAGAACGGACAGAGAGAGAGAGAGAATTCAGCACCTGAGATTCTGCTAAACTGGTTCATTTAATTAGAAATGATAAGATAGATAAATAAATGTTTTCAATTCTTTATGAACAAATCAGTAATGCAGTAGGCGGCACAAAGAGTTTCCTCAACTAAGCAGACTGTTTGCACTCTTACCTGGTAAATGAACTCATCAATTATGTCCCATAACCACTGGTTAGGAAGCTCCAGAGGTGCCGGTCCATCAGCGTCTGACAACATTAAACACATTAAATGATGTGGTAAATCCATTAAACTTATTTAAATTGACTACTTGACTGGGTGATCTAAACACAAAAACCCTTTCGACAACAAACATTCAAAAGTTTGGGGTCAGTACATTTTTTATGATTTTGAAAGAGGTCTCTTATGACCAAAGCTGCATTTATTTGATCAAAAATACAATAAACAGTAAAATTGTGAACTATTATTACAGTTCCAAAGAACTGTTTTCTATTGTAACGTATTGCATTTTATTTATGTGATGCAAAGCATAAATTGATGCATAAGAAACTTAAGCAACTTAAACTTGAAAATATTTCTTATTATTCTCAATGTAGAAAACAGGTGAGCTGCTTAATATTTTTGAGGAATCTGTGATACGATGTTTTTAAAGATTCTTCAATGAATAGAAAGTTGAAAAGGACAGCATTTTTTTTTTTTTTTGGAAAAAGAAATCTTTTGTAACATTATAAATGTATTTATTTATTTATTTAGCACTATTGATCAATTTAATGTGTCCTTGCTGAAAAAAGCACTAATGTCTGTCTGAATTTTTTTTTTATAAATTGTTCTGACCCCAAACTTTTGAATAGTAGTGATATAGAAAATGGCATATACTTTGACCATTTTTAAAAAATGATAAGACATTATTAATTACTGTAATTAAAATTATCCATTTGTAAAATGTTGCACAAATATATAGTCTTTATATTTATGATTTTACTCTGAAATGGCTCAAATTGTTTATTGCAAAATAACACAGTAAAAATCCAGATACAACACTTTTTTTAAACATCACAAACAAATATTGCCCATCACATGTAAATGATGAGTTTGCACTCACTGAGAATGTAGTTGAAGAGGTTGCAATAATTGTAGTAGGACTCAAACCTTTGGTCAAGAGTTGGCCCTCCCTGTACATGAGAAAAAGACTCATTATTGACAGGCATGACAAACATGAGCTGACAATCCATCTAGTACGGTTGTGACGGTGAGGAAATTTTCCCACCGGTTAATCGACGTGTGACAACACCGATAATACCGGTATCACTGTGGGGGCAGAAATAGTGGAAATATTTAAACATGTATAATATATAACCAAATAAATAAAGTAACGTAGAACATTTATTAGCAAAACGAATATCAAATAAAATAAATGACACAAAGTTTAAATAAAGTAAAGATCAGCAAACACTGTGGAACCAATTAAATAAGAAACTAATGTTTAAAAAAACTTTCAAAATCACCTTAGATAAACGGCAAAAGTCAACAGGCTTTTCAAAATCCAGAATATTACCAAAAAGGCGCTTTTGCATTTCGTTTCGAAACTAAATCATCCGCCATCATCTTGTCTGTCTCACCTCACCCACACACACAGACACACACACAGACTCACACACAGACAGACAGACTCACACACAGACAGACACAGACTCACACACAGACAGACACAGACAGACTCACACACAGACACACACACAGACACACACACAGACTCACACACAGACACACACACAGACTCACACATGACCCCTTTAATAAAAGATAAAAGTGATTGAGGGAACAAATCACTTTTTTTCCCACATGGATATTTTTACTAAAATGTGCATCAATTTAGTTTAGTCAGTTTATATAGTAATAAAGGCAACATTTAACTGCATACTTAAGTCCAACACTTTAACGTGAAAAATCCCGCAGGACATCCTTGAACCTTGAACATGAGTGAATGAGTCATTGAACCGATTCACATAAAGTGTTTGCCACTTACAAACTACCACTCTTTTTGACACTAAAGTTAAAATCAGTTAAAATCAGAAACTTTATACACAATGTCAAGGAATGATCACATAACTAGAAAATGGCATTCTTGTAAAGAAGCTAAATTGTCAAAAAAGCACACTGAAACGGCAACATTCATGATGTTACTTAACAAAACCTTTGTTAATATAACACAAATATCCAATATGTCACCAATATATAGCCTTGCAACCTACTTAAGTAATCATCACACTACAAATGTAATTCCATATATGATGCTTCTACCCTGACAATAAAAAGTAAACAAATTATTTATATGTACTTGAAGCAACATTGGACACAAACTGACTTTGTTCTGAGTGCTTTATTATATCTGTGGCTCAATAGCTTGATAGCAAACAAACAGGTGCAACATAAGACTATAATTTCAGGGGCTGCTAAAGTATTAAGTGGTGGCGTGAAAAATGCTGGGATTAAATCCGTAACATGCATGCTACGTGTGACTCTACATGATCTTGCTTCTTCCACTGTTTGAACTGTGAACCAAGCATGCGATCCTTTAATCTGCACTTCCTATGGTAAGAGTCACGCTGTGACGGGCTCTAAGTGCAAGTGAGAGAAAGGTGAGCTCAGTTTTCTACAGCAGTTCTCTTTCCAGACTGGAGTCTCGCCCTTTTGACTGTAATGTCACTTTGTCAATAGACAGGTTGACTGAGAAGGTTGACGTTCTGCATTTTAATCACCCTACTACCCGGGCTTTTCACATTTTCTGAGGTTTTTAATTATCCAGAGCACTGGGCTGGCGCTGCGGTGAGAGGGCCACGTGCTGCGAGAGCTCCTGGGGTGAACATCAAGCTGTTGCTTCACACGCCCACAGGTCTAAGTCTCTGAAAACTGAGAGTGTATAAGGACACTGCTTGGGGTCTCCAATGAAATTATGAATTTAATTGGATTGGAAACCAAGCTACCCTTGGGCTGGCATGTCGGACTGCATTAGGCAGCCATCAGCCATTTCCCTCGACCGCACGATGGGTGGTAGTGGATGAGGCATGTGAGTGAAAAGGAAAAAAAAAACAGCACACCTTACAGTGGGAACAAGCTAACGTTTCTCAAATAGCCGAGAATGATTTTTCATGCACTTCAAACTATATGCTTTATACAACAAAAGTTCAAAAGTATTATTTCAACATTATATGTAACATTTATTACCATAATTTAAAGGTCAAATACCCCCCAAAATAATACAAAACATAGTTATAATAATATAAAAACTATTAATATAAATGTAAATGTAATATAAAAATATATATATTTTTAATTTTTGTTAGTTAGCTTCACTCATATCAGCTAGAAGTCTTAACTGTAAAACCAGAGATAGTATGCAAGATTTGGCTTTATATATATATATATATATTCTTTTTAAGAGCCTTTTAACGCTGAACTTAATGGCCTTATTAAAACCAGCCCGTTAATTGCATTAGCGTCAAAGGATTCTAACTTCAGGAGAACATTACAGCAAGGCTGGTCCATCTCATTTCACTGCCTTGGCCAGTTGCAGCTGCTTTAATGTGTGAGAGAAAATCAGCGGAAATGACTTTTAAGAGTACTTTAAAGAACGCATCAAATCACTAGATACAGCAAAGGTCAAAGTAATCAACACTGAGCAGAAGCTGTCATTACATTGGAGAATCCGGAGCGTTATTTCTTTTTGTCATTAATATTCCAGAAGTACAGCAGATTCATTATTATTCCAAAAGTACTGCAGGATGGGGCTTTCAGGATGCCTTGTTAAAAATGAATCACACCACTTTTGTATGATTACTATACAGTCGTATCATTTTAATTGTCAAACTAATGTCCGTTCTACTCATTATTTGGTAGATTTTGTTTGTTCTGTGCTCATGGAGAGGTGAATTTGTGCAAATAATTTTAATGGATGCCAAGTTAAGTTTTAAAAAGCCCTTTACACATACAGCGCTGAACCTGGTCAAGTGTGTGCTAGTCGTCGGACAAACCTGATTGATTCCACTAGGGGAGACTTTATAGTTCTGCAGCTTCTGTTTCAACAGCTCAGGGTCGCTGTGGCGGAATGGACACCCTGTGAAGAAGACGAAGAGAAGGAGAAAATGGGTTTACAAGCATCAGTTCAAACCAGTGTCTGAAAATATGTCCTACAGGACAGTTGGAACACGACCCATGTGTTTTTTTTTGTGCCTTGAAGGCCACTGCAGGAAAGGGGTACTTACTTGTGGGATCGTGTTTCCAAGCAAAAGTGAGCAATTCAATCTAAGTGCTCTTCCACAAGGCTGTTAGAGAAAGGTACATACTTTATGACGGCCACTTCAAGGAAGTAAATTAGCAGTTATGATCATGTGATCCTGGGTAGAGGGTACTAGCAATTCTTTGAATAAAAGGTCATTTAAGATCTTTCAAAACCCTCAATCGAATTCATGCATCCAAAGACCTTCATAAGGGGATTTGTCTACATTATTACATGTAGGAAAGCAAAGACAACCATTCAAAAGTTTGGACTCTGTAAAGTTTTTGTGGTTTTGAATGTAGACTCGTTAAGTTTATTTGAGCAAAATCAGTAATATTGTGAGATATTATCACAATTCAACATAATATATATTTTACAATGTAATATTACTGTGATGCAAAGCTGATTGTGCCTTGAAGGCCACTGCAGGAAAGGGGTACTTACTTGTGGGATCGTGTTTCCAAGCAAAAGTGAGCAATTCAATCTAAGTGCTCTTCCACAAGGCTGTTAGAGAAAGGTACATACTTTATGACGGCCACTTCAAGGAAGTAAATTAGCAGTTATGATCATGTGATCCTGGGTAGAGGGTACTAGCAATTCTTTGAATAAAAGGTCATTTAAGATCTTTCAAAACCCTCAATCGAATTCATGCATCCAAAGACCTTCATAAGGGGATTTGTCTACATTATTACATGTAGGAAAGCAAAGACAACCATTCAAAAGTTTGGACTCTGTAAAGTTTTTGTGGTTTTGAATGTAGACTCGTTAAGTTTATTTGAGCAAAATCAGTAATATTGTGAGATATTATCACAATTCAACATAATATATATTTTACAATGTAATATTACTGTGATGCAAAGCTGATTTTTTTTAGCATTATTACTCCGGTCTCTAGTATCCCATGATCCTTCAGGAAACATTTTTACATGCTGATTTGCTGCTCAAGAAACATTTCTCACTATTATCAATGTTGAAAACAGTTGTGCTGCTTAACATTTTTTGTGAAAACCGTGATAAATTTTTTCAGGATTCTTTGATGAACAGAAAGATCAAAAGAACAGGATTTATTTGAACAGAAATCTTTTGTCTTTACGGTCACTTTTGATCAATTTAATGCATCCTTGCTAAATAAAAGTATGTCTTTCTTGGTTTCATTTAAATAACCGAAAATTTTAATTTTAAATGCCACATGGAAATTAAACGAGATTTAACCTCATTAAAAAAAGACATCACGCAAGCACTGTCCTAACAGCTATAAACAAATGTTCATACTATATTATCAAGGAAATATTTCATTTCAAAACAGTACCAATGGTGTATATCTTTGTGATGGTGTATTGAAGCATGTAAGACAGAAATGCCTAAAGCTTTCTGGCCTTCATAGTGAGCAGGACATAGTGATGCTCACTTTCGGATGCATTTTGTCCATTATGTGCATTGCGAAAAGCAGATGTTATTAATTAGGCTGCATGGACTTGCATTTTTGTATTCATTTTTATTTTACAGCTAATTCAAGACCACCTGCATAATATGCAGTCTTTTAATTCTCTTCATTACAGAACTAAAGATGGGCCTCGGAGGGACCGATCACATTTAAAACCAACAGTCTGGCTCAGTATGACTCACCATGGTAGTCGCCTTGGCTGGGTGGGTTTGACAAAATCACCTTCATGCAACTGTAGGGGGTGTAGTCAGTGCGCTTGCCTTCCTTCCCAAACATGTGGCGGACGCTGTAGGCATATGCTTTATCAAACTGCAGAGCAAGACAAAGACGGGAGAGAAAGAGAGAGAGAACGTGAGTTTGAGGGAGAGGACAGTAAAGTGCGTGAGAAGAGGGTTGGAATAGTGGGGAGGTTGTGGGTGAAACAAAGACATTGTCGTACATCAAGTAGGTTGTGGCAGGGCGTTTTCCGCTATGAAATATAGAGCTATTAGCAGGGACCTGCTGTAGCGGTG